TATATATATATATATATATATATATATATATATATATATATATATATGTTGGACAACAATATAAAACATAAAGATATTAAGGATCTTGATGCCTTTTTGTTGGTCAAATTATGTAGTTTCAAGTAATGCTAAACATTCTTCAGGAAAACAAGAAAATAGTTTTTTATTGCTAAATTTATATTTATGGATACAAATTTCATTGTCATTATCAAATTCATGAGACAATAATATTTGTCTTCTTTTCTTAGGTTTTTGTAGAAACCAAACACCAGCTTTTCCCACAATAACATAAAGCCTCTGAAGACATGGCTGATGACAAATTTGCATAAGTCTTGCCAGAATTTCTTAGTGTGAGAACAATAACAAATAGGTTTTAAAAAAATACCTTTGTTTTCTTTCATGGCAATAAATGCTCCACATCGGTAGAGGAAGTATTCAGATACTTTATACTCCACAGTGTAAAAGTAATAAAGTAAAAAGTAAAATTATTAATATCACAGTGTAAAAATACTCAAATAAAAGTAAAAATATGTAAATATAATCATAAAAGACTACTTACTGTTCCTTTTCAATGGAGCATGACACGCTTTGCATATAAAAATACAAATAAGGACAAATGTTATACATTCATGTGTTTGTGTGCATTTTTTCTGTTCTTCTCATTCAAGCCGCATAGTCTCGCGATATTATATCCGAGCTCTACGTGACGTCTCCCTGTGCCAGCCATCTGATTGGTCCTCCGATCCCAGTTTAAAAACTAGACCGCGTAGACTAGAGAAACAGCCAAAGCAAACGTTACTGAATGTCTATCGATGTTTCCTGTTTTAAATACTCAGTCTGGTGAATAAAACACGTCAGCAGTAAGTTGGAGTTTGATTAAATGTCGGTGTTAGTTGTAGAACTGTGATGCAATGTGAGTTTTTATTCTCAACGGACGTTAAAACTAAACAACTGACGCGTGTATGTGAGGGTTAGCTCGTGTGGCTAATGCTAACTACAAAGCTAACAGGAGTGTGATCTGTTCTGACTATTAACGTTAATCAGTCACTGCTAATAATGTAAATTATGTGTTCAGTGCCGATCTGATTGAACCCGAGTGGGTGTTTACAGCTAACTAGTCCGGACACGTTCTGTTCGTCATTGTTGGAAATCACGCTGAACCCCATTTAAATATTTAAACATTTAACGCTCTTGTGCTTATCTGCTCGCTACAAACGAAGTAGATCGTGATTGAAGATTTTCTTTTTAAATCATCAGGCTCCAATGTTAAAATCGGCATAGCTATAATGACCATCACACGTACGTGTTTGGAGATGTCAGCCTTCAGAATGAGTTCATCAGCAGTTGAGTAATAATGTGACTGATGTGTGTGTTCGCAGAAATGATGGAGTCATGTTTAGGTGGGAAGCCCGAGAGAGTCGGGCCGGTGGTGGTGGATGACATCAAGAGAGATCTGCTCGGCGAATTCGCAGCTCTACCTGCACAGGTCTGTCTGTCAGTGATGCAGTCAGGAGGATGTTGCTGAGGTTGTCAGGGTGACAGATGTTGATGTTGACTTCAGAGCAGAGAGTTTACAGATGTTTTGTCTTTCATCAGGAAAGTGTTCAGTCGGAGAACCTGCAGGTGTACCTGAGGGTTCGACCTTTCACTGCAGCCGAGAGCGACAATGGGTCACAGGTAACACACACACACACACACACACACACACACACACACATTTAATCTGTGGGACTGATACTGATTTAATGTTAAACTGTTAAGCATTGTGTTTTTTAATGTTGATGCAGAGCAACTATTGTGATAAAGTCTTGGTCATAAAGGACATTTTTCCCTCTGTTAAATATGAGTAACACTCGTGGTCAACATCCAATAACATATGTGTTCAGTTCACTTTGAACTGGTGTGAGATGGAGGTGTTAATCACCAGAGACCCCCTGATATGACCGCGATATTTAGGTCATGATACAATATTGTACAGTGACATATAGTGCGATATATTGCGATTTATTAGCCTTTTTCAACTGCAAATTAAGATAAAACTTTGTCAACATCTGTTTTTTTCCCAATAAGTTGGTAAGTTTTCAGTCTGGTCATCTCACTCCAGTCATTTAAATTGCAGCAACATGTATCTAGTGGACTGAAAAAGCAACTGATGTTATCATTCTAGGAGGCAACCAAAGTTTAATTTGTATTTTCAGTATTAATAATTCATATGATTAATGATCTGATGCTCAGTATCCGTGTATTGATACAATAATGCCTCAAAAAATATCCCAATACTGTGCTGTACTGATTTTTTTCCCTACTCCTCGTGTGAGATGATGTGTGGAATATGATTTGTAGGCCGGGGTGTCTCTGTAACAACACAGTGCCTCATTTATAATGGCATGTTGTAACACATTTTAATTTTGTCAAAGAATTGCAGCTCCTGTGATCTGGATAGTGTGATTTCAATAACACAGTATTTTGAATAATTGTGCAGCCCTAAAATTATAATAAAAATAATGTAATTAGCTGCAGATCTGATGGTAAAGCTACAAATGAACAAATTATCAAAACTCCTCAATAATTCTCATCCTTAATTTTGATTATAATAAATGAAAAAAATTAATAATAATATGATTTGGCCTGTTAACAACTGTAGATGTGGCAGGATATCTACTGGTTGTTTTAATGCATTGGTTTCTTCTTCTTCTTTCCTCTCTGGGACATTACAGCTTTACTCTGCTGTACAGCGACTGTCTGATACTTTAAAGTCAGATATCTTTTTCTGTTTATTGATGAAACCTGCAGTTTTCATCATCATCTTTTATTGGTGTAAAAAAAAATCTGTTTGTGTATTTTGCTCTGCAGGAGTGTGTGACCATCGAGGGACCGGACACTGTGGTCCTGAAGGCTCCCAGGAGCTGTCAATCAAACCGACAGAGTGAGAAGTCCCTCCCACAGACAGCACAGAGGTTCACCTTCACACAGGTAACTCTGACATCACCTGTCTGTCATATCAAAGACTTGTTCCTTACCTTTACAAAGATACAACTGTTCATGTTATGTCCCGTTTATTGATTTTAAACCTGACGTTAATGTTAAGCTCTTGTCGTCGTCGTATTTTTGAGGTGTTTGATCCGGAGGCCAGTCAGAAGAAGGTGTTTGATGGTTCAGTTCGCGGTTTGGTCCGAGACGTTCTGGAAGGAGGAAACTGTCTGGTGTTCACGTATGGAGTCACCAACGCTGGAAAAACCTTCACATTCCTGGGTCAGAAACATCACCTGTTTCTCTGTCTGACCCTCTTTCTACCTTCCTCCTGGTCTCTCTCTGTCTGTCTCTATGACCATCGAGCCCTTCTTACCCATAGATGGCGCTGTAGTGCTGCTGCAAAGCTCATTCTTTATGCTACCTTTACATTTTTACACCGCACCAAACAACGGCCACATCATGCAGCTTCAGTGTGTGACTTTAGACAGCGTGCTGGCATCATGGAATCAAAGAGGTGTGACATGTAACTCATAGGCCTCTAGTGTGACATATAACATACGTGTCAGCAGGGCTTTGTAAACAATACCAATGGCATTAATATGTCAATAACTATCATTTACCATCTCTGTTATAAGGTGGCTGATCCCATTTTCTGGTCGGAGGGTAAGGCGCTGCCTTAAAACACTGTCCGTCTCTGTCCAAGCAGCGCTCAAACATTTTTTGAACTTATGAGACTGAATAAGTAACAGATTTTCAAAAGTTATCCCTATATCATTTCCACTGGCCTCCATCATTGACCCTGTTTTCCGGCGTGTTTGTGACATCACACCTGACACAACAGAAAAAACAGACAGACAAGTCTCTGGTCTACTGGCAGTGGGAAAGCAGCCTATCCCTGACTCTTGGCAGATTTTCCCGTGTTTTAAAAAACCTGCATACGTGTACTGATTTTGGTGAGAAACAGTATTTGACTGTCTGTCTGTCTGTCTCTCTGCCCGTCTGTCTCTCAGGTCCAGACCATGACTCAGGTCTGCTGCCCAGGTCTCTGTCAGTGATCTTTAACAGTGTTGAAGGTCGTCTGTACGGTCGGGCCGATCTGAAGCCTCAGCGCTGCAGAGACTTCAGCAGACTGACTCCAGACCAGCAGGCAGCCGAGTCCAGCAGCAAGAGGAACCTGCTGAGGCTGTTTAAAGAGGTCCCACAATATAAATACAACAACACCTGCGTACTGCTGTTGTGTACTACTGTGTACTAGTGTGTGTCTCATCTTTGTCTCTGCAGAGTGACAGAAGTCAGACGTCAGGAAGATCAACGTTTCTTGACGGTCTGTGACTCTGAATCAGATTATTTTAAAAAGTGAAAGTTTTACCCAAATTACTCAACATGTGTATGTTTTCTTGTGTCTGTATATTTGTGGGGTCCCCACACTGGGAACTTTGTTTGAATCAAAATATGGGACCCCACAAGAATCACTTTTGATCTTACCCGATAAAGATTTTTTAGTTATGTCTGACCCTTAGAAATGGTGGTCCTCACAAGTGACTGAAAAAAAACTGTGGACCCCACAGCTGATAAAAACAGGTGTGTGTTTTTTCAGGCTCTTCTCTCAGCACTGACAGCAGCGTGAACAGTGACTCCGAGGCTGACAGTTTCTGTCTGGACGTCGACTCAAACATCCGTTTCTCCATCTGGGTTTCATTTTGTGAGATTTACAATGACAACATCCACGACCTGCTGGAACAGGTAAGACACTTACTGCACATGTGAGGAGCCTGCGTGGTGTCATCCTCAGCCCTGACTTCAAGCCTTAAAGCTGAATTTGTAGCTGTGTGGTGGTCGATGGACTCTTTCTTTTGTGTATCTCGTGTCACTGTCAAATGTCTGTGAAGACCAGACAAAATGTCCTCTCTTGACTCAAACTGTCCAAGTGAAGAATAAGTCGTCCAGCTGTGACTGATCATGTGATTGATCGTGTGATGTTTAGGTTTCCAGTGGACACCAAAAGAGGACGGTGCTGCGTCTGTCTCAGGATGTCAAAGGAAACTCCTTCATCAAAGGTAACACAAATTTTAACTTAATAGATTCAGTATTATTATTTATTATTTTATGCACCATGTTTGCACAACCCAGTTACTAGAAGAAAATGTTGGCATTGTACGTTTCTGCAGATCATGTCACATTTGTACGTTAATATGTAGCAAATATGTTAACACTTGGTGTTTCTTTGTGTTTCAAACGTCATATTTTCTGCTATAACAGTGATCTGCAGTCATGTTTAGTTTTACGTAACAGAGTTTAATAACAAATATTTAGCATATAACAAGATTTAACTAATACATGAATGTAGGGCGTGGCGATATGGCAAAAAATATTACCACGATATTTTCCCTGTGTTGATCAATATCGATATTTATCACAATCTACAATTTGATAATGCTGCGAGTTTGAAAAGTATCCTGATGACGTCTGACACCTGAAGAAACCAAATGATTTTCCAGCTTCCGTCGCTCGTTGTAAAGCTGCGACAGAGCAGTTTGGGAAAAGTATTTCCTGCGTGGGAGCTCATACCTGTAGTCTCACACTTGTCTCTCCACGGTGCTCATGGGCATCACGTCTCTGGCTAGAAAGTACGACACTGCATCTGTTATATCTCTGCTCCTTTCTGAATGCTTCTCATACGAGGTTACGGTGGCAAAAACAGACACTATTGATTGGTGATTTGGTGCCACACCGCTAGCCCCACCCACAGCAGCAGAAGTGCTCGATCATTGAACACTTGTTGGTGGACGTCCTGCAGTTTGGGTGGATTTTCATGCTCTCAGTGTAGTCGCTGGGACGCCACCTTTTCAAAGGTTTGTTGTGTTTCCCGTCCTGGTTGGCACCAACCGACCACATATTATGCAGACTGTCTTTGTCTGTGTCGTCACCTTTCATTTTAGTTTTATTTATTTTATTTTTTTATATTTTTCATTTTTATTTCATTTTTTTCTTTTATTGACATTGTGTGACCTTTTTTACCCACAGTTTTGTCCGTTTATGAGGAGAACACGAGCTCTTCTTTAGCTTCACCGCCACTTTGCCCCTCACTTCCACTCATTTTCCCCTCTTTTTGTTACGTCCACGCTTCTTTCACTTCCTCCTCACCTCAGACAAACTTTGCAGTGAAAAATGGGCGTGTACAATGACTGATTGACTGACAGCTGTCTGTTAACTTCTGCTGTTTAGATCTATCAGGTCTGTCCACATCCAGAAAAAGTAACTATAGTTTATCATTGTCTTCAACGTACATATTTATTGCAATCCTGTTTTGAGATTGTTTAATCGCCCAGCCCTGTGTGGATGCAACATTAGAACCGTGTCTTAATGAGAAAATGAAGGTGCTAGATTTACTTCAGCCAATATAGAAATATAATTTGGCTGATAAACTTGGCTGTGCTGATGTCAGGCTGTAGTGTAGCTGCAGTGTGTGTGTTGATATATGTGTGCTCCATGTTTCAGACCTGCGGTGGGTCCAGGTGAACAGTTCGGAGGAGGCCTACAAAGTGATGAAGATTGGAAAGAAGAACCAGAGTTTCTCCTCCACTAGACTGAACCAGCTGTCCAGCAGAAGGTCAGCTGCTTCACACCATCGCTTTTTAAACCCTTGCACAAAATGCCTTAAGTTTTCTCCTTAAGTATGACACTTAAAGCTTAATTTCTCCTTGATGGACTTACAGAGCTGCACAGAATCCCTTAAAAGGTATCCTTTGTTAAGGAAAAATGTTAATTCACTAACTGGGTTGAAAGAGGTGTTACGGGGCTGCACGATATTGGGAAAAATTGACATTGCGATTTTTTTGCCCCCAGTAATTATATTGCGATTTATATTTTTTTTAAAGATGCATTATTTTCCACCAGATGACTTCAGTAGCTCTACTTGGTGAGAATTAATCATTCTGGAATTTTTAGGCTAATATTGCTTTGAATGCAACGGCATAAAATGTGCTGAAAATAGGCATTTGTTAAGTGAAACCACCATCTCTGTCAGTGTTTCCCCTATATACAACTAGCAGCGGCACACCATGCTGCTGATTGTTTATTTTTTATTTTTTTGTCTTAGCTCTTTAGAAACTGCCGTTATATTATTTGGCGCTACGGACGCTTCATATCCAGGTCAATTCACACACTTGTGAGTAAAGCATATAAGAGGAGAGGAGAGGGCTCCGTCTGATCTCTTCAAAACTAAAGTTATATTATTTTGCATAACGAATGCTTTATATAATAATATAACAATATTCTTATATTGTTTACACAACGGCATGTCATTTCTGTCTCTACATGGTCGCACCTCTACATTCTCCTCTGCTCTCTGTTTTGCGCACGGTGGAGTTAGGCCCCGATGCGCGTGCACGCATGCACACACACAAACACGAGCGCGCGCGCACACGCACGCACACACACACACACACACACACACACACACACTAGAGTGTGGCTCGGGCTGCATTTTTCCGAGTCCAAGACATTTATAACCGAACCTGGCCCGAACCTGCAGCACACAGTCTGTGGAGCGGAGCCTGTGTTGTGTTCAGGCGTTGTCACATAAATAACAAATTCCAACAACTGAATAGGCCGTTTAGTCTTTATTCCACTAATTTAGACATCTTTTGTTGGTCAGTCATTAAAACGTAAGCGAGTTTTACGTGCATCACTCAGCAATTTAAATGTGCATGCTTAATTTAATTAGGTCAAGCCACATTGCAAGCCCCGCGATATAAATATTGCACAAGTGTGCATCGCGATGGCGATGCTTAAAAGATATATCGTTCAGGCCTAGGACAAGTAGAGTTGCAAATCCTAGTACAACCCAAGTCCCATGGGTTGTACTAGAGGGTCGCCGGTTCAAGTCCCTGTCCGGACCAAATGCGGAGCGTGGACTGGTGGCTGGAGAGGTGCCAGTTCACTTCCTGGGCACTGCCAAGGTGCCCTTGAGCAAGGCACTGAACCCCCCAACTGCTCAGGGCACCTGACCAAGGCAGCCCCCTCACTCTGACATCTCTCCACTTTGTGCATGTATAGGTCCTGTTTGTGCATGTGTGTGTATTTCGGACCTGTGTGTTAATGACAACGGAGTGAAAAAATTGAATTTCCCCTCAGTATATAAAAGTATATAAAATTAGAATTAGAAATTAAAATTATTGTCTCACAAACTTGGCTCATAGTTAGTGAAAACATGGCAGAAGAAAAGAAGACAAGAAAATCACACTGGTCAGAGGAGGAAAAGATTAAACTTCTGGAGGAATACAATCATAGAGAGCACAAAGTAAATCTGATCTTCAAATACCAGAAAACAATTCACGCTGAAGTGAATGAGGAGGTGTTGAACAGATCCTGTATCAGCTGTTTCAGTGTGGAAGTGAGAGAAGAGGAGTCATTGGGATTTTTGTATGTCTCTGCAGTCACAGCATCTTCTCCATCAGGATCCTCCGAGTGGATGATGTTGGAGTTCCCAGAGTCCTCAGCATAAGCGAGTAAGACTGACGCTTTATTCACACTGTTTATACTGTACATGCGTTTACAGTGTGCTCACATCAGAGTTAGATATGAGTAATAATTTAGTGTCTGTTAGGCTGTCTCTGTGCGACCTGGCCGGCTCTGAGCGCTGCTCTCGGACTCACAACACCGGAGAGCGTCTGAAGGAAGCAGGAAACATCAACAGCTCTCTGCTGACACTCGGGAAGTGCATCAACGCTATGAGACTCAACCAGCACGCCAAGTACGACAACACCGCCAGTCTGTGATGTTTGAATGTAAATCCAAGGCACCAGGATGACAGATGTAATCTGTTTTTTTGCAGGTTTCAGCACCACATTCCCTTCAGGGAGTCCAAACTCACACACTTCCTGCAGTTTTTCTTCTGTGGTGCTGGACGGGTTACGATGGTTGTTAACATCAATCAGAACTCTGCCTGCTTTGATGAGACGCTCAACGTCCTCAAATTCTCTGCCCTCGCCCAGAAGGTCAGCACACACAAACACACAGAGTCACCTGTACAGTGCTAGAGCTGAGTACTGGACTTCAGAGAATCAAACAATGTCAGTTACCAAAACATCAACTGTCAGCTTTTTCTATATAGTATAAATCCCGCATTACTCGATTATCAGAAATAGTTGTCAGGTATTTTTCTGTTGATAAACGAATCAATTAATTGACTGAACGGTTGTTGGTTGTTATATACCCCCCTCAGCTGTCAATTGGGGATACACCGAAATGAAAACTTGTGGCCAAAGCCAAATAATATTAAACGCTTGGCCGAATACCGAATACTGACTACCGAGTACCGAATACCAAATGCCGTTGTTTAGTTTTTCATTAGTTTCTGCAGATGAACCCTCCAGATTAGTGTTGTCATGGTAACAAAATTTGGACCCACGGTACGATACCAATGAAAATATCATGGTTCTGAGTAGTATCACGATACCACAGTGAAAATGAGGCAGATGTGCCTTTTGTCATTTATAAAAAGATAAATCACTTTTCTATAATACATCAATGATATTTCAATGGAATAAATTACTTATTGACTTATTCATACTTCAAAAACAGCATCAATAAGTGATTAACATAGGGGGGATCAAAATAAAATAAATAAAATAGAAATCAACCAGCCACCCTCCTCCCCTGACAAGTTAAGAACAGTCCCTTCATAAGTAAAGAACAGTCCCTAAAGTGCGGTGAGGTTTGTGGGCCGTTACCTGACACAAAGAGAGAAATGTGAACGGCTCGTTTCTCCTCTGACACGTCACATACCTGTGTGCCGCCACGGCTCGGCTGTTCAGGTATTTCTGGGCAGTCATGACACCAAGAGGAGGAAATTATTGGACCTGGAGCAGGGCTTCTCCATTGCTGGTAAGCCGTTATCTTCTTAAATTGGGACTTCTAAGTCTGATGGTCTTAAAAATTTCTGTGTCTCACTGAACTTGGGGATCTGAACTCAAATTGTGGATAGTCCCACCCGTCCTAATAATAAATTTCATGAAAAATCATCTTTAATTGATCTGATGTTAACAAATGTTCCTCACAAATACTCTACAGCTGGAGTATTTACTAATGATGTGAGTGACCACTGTGTTAAGATAAGATAAGATAAGATACACCTTTATTGATCCCACAATTGAGAAATTCCAGTGTTACAGCAGTCAAGGGGAAAGAGAGACACTTAAAAACTTAAAAAACCTAGGCATGCAAAATAAAATACAAAAATACAAGAAACAGCGATATATAACAATAATAATAATAATAGTAATAATAATAATAATAAAAATAATAATAATGATGATGATAATAATGAGAAGTGACTAAAAATGAGCAGTGGATTAAAGAGAGCACATCAAGTGCAAGTGATTGTATGTGCAAAAAACAGCAGACAGCTGTGGTGTTTATAAAGTGTCCATAGTGTCCCTAAAGTGTCCATGGTGCAGTTTACTGTGAGCAGTGCTGGTAATGTAGCCTGACAGCAGCATGCAGGAAGGACCTGCGATAGCGTTCCTTCTAGGGCTGTCAATCTTCCCCCACAATCAGATTAGAATTTTTAATGTTTTTTATGTTAAAAATTTGAATAATATTCAGATTTTTCCTTGGTATAGGCTATAGCCTAGGCCTACCACCGCATTTTTATATTTCTTGTGTTATAATGACGTTATTTTAATATTTTGCATCACATGCAAAAGTGAGCGTCTGCGCTTGTCAGCTGGAGACGTGTTGCTCCTCCTCACTTCAAGTCGCTGTCATTAACTTTAAAACTGCAAAGGCGGCAGTGCCGCAACATTGTAGGAATTTATGAAAGCCCTTGTGAACGTTTCAATAGTTACACATTAAAACAATATTTATTTGCAAATACTCTACTGAACGACCCCGAAGCATGAGCAAACGGGCTGTGTCACTTTGGATCAAAGAGATGCGCCCTTGGGGATGAGTGGTATGCCTCCTTGGTGTTGTCATAAAATAAATCCAGTGTTTTATTGTCTCTGGTGTGGCAGGAAATCGTGTCCGGTACTTCCGTGTTCAGCCATGTCTCTGTAAACACCAGCACGCTGCTCTGCCGGTACCCCCTCCAATGGCGAGTCAGCGCCGACAGCTTGTCCATCTTGTTGGGGAGCGATCTTACGTTCCCCATGACAACAGATGGGACGACGAGTTTGCGCGACATCCCTGTTTCCTTCTCCACAGCTCGCGGGGAATATCGCGCCTGTCCTCGGGCTGCACCGCCGTGTGATGCAGCGCCAACAGCTGGTCCTGGGTGTAAACAATGGAGCCACGGCTGGGCGCTGGGTCCCTGCACTTGATCATGTCCGTGGAAAAATAGGAGACAGACCGCTATAAAGAGAGCAGTCTTCGTGTCCATAACAAAACAGAACATAAGTGCTAGGTAGCTAACTGAAAAAAAAAACTCCAAATAAGAGAGTTAAATGAAAAAGAAATTGAACAAAGCTCAGCTGTGAGCAGGAGCTACTGTAACAGGCGTCCGCACTGGGGGCGCCGTCTTGAAAAAAACAAAAAACAAAAACAAAGGAACAACTCGTAGCCACATGATTTGTTTCACTTTGATTGGGACAACATTTATTTGATAGATAATGTTGAAACCGCATGGATATATTTTTAAATGGTTTTAAGGAAAACATCGAGAGGAGCCAGTTGAGGTGGTTCAGGCATCTGGTAAGGATGCCTTCCGGACGCCTCCCTTGGGAGGTATTTCGGGCATGTCCAACTGGGAGGAGACCTTGGGGCCGCCCCAGAACATGCTGGAGGGATTACATCACCCGGCTGGCCTGGGAGCGCCTTGGGGTTCCCGCGGAAGAGCTGACGGAAGTGGCTGGGGAGAGGACTGTCTGGGCTTCTTTGCTGAGGCTGCTGCCCCCGCGACCCGGACCCGGATAAGCCGAGGACTACGAGTATGAGTACGGTTTTAAGGAAATAATAGATAGACATGCTCCTCTTCATAAATACAGGGTGAAGGGCCGGGATAACCCCTTGTTTGCTGCAGAGTTATTTAATTTCCTACACAAGAGAAACAAAGCTTTGGGCAAAGGCTAGAATGACAGGGTCTGAGAATGAGTGGTGCTGTTTTAGGCAGCTAAGAAATTACTGTACATCACAAATCAAAAGCTCAAATGCCGAGTCCTATCTTTCAGCTACTACTGAGAATTTGAATTGAATTTTTGAAAGTCATTAAATCTCTATCTGCCTCTGGAAGTTGTAATGAGTTACCCCCTTGCTTTTCCACTGCCTCTGGCACTGTCTCAGATAGGTCCTGTGGTTCATTGTTTGATTCTGTGTCAACGTCTACATATGCAAATACCGCAGGTTTTGATCTGAGCTATGTTGGTTCAAATCAAACATTCTGTTTTTCACCATTTTCTGTTGATGAAGTGTATGAAGCCCTAGGTAACTTGGATTCAAAGTAGGGAGGCACCGAATATTCGGTAACCGAATATGTTCAGCCGAATATTGCAAAAAAACACACATTCGGTATTCGGTGGAATAAGTTAAAAGCAAGGCTGAATAATAGCGGCGCGGTTTTGATAACGCAATCAAACAGCGTGCCGTGATGGGCGGATTAAAATGTCAGCAGTGTGGCGATCTATCCGTCACCGCACTCGCATTTGCGACTAAAAATAGTTTTGAGCGAGCAAAATAAATCATTCAGCACACTGTGCGAGTACAGATTTCAACCAGCAGCAGAAACGAAAGGGGAATCCTGCCGGTTGTGGGTTGAACGGGGGTCACAGACACAGACAGGAATACGTATTCCTGTCAAATACGGCGGCCATCGGCTTACCAGCGAGGAGAAGTCGGCTCCAATAATATCCTCTTCTTGGCGTCATGACTGCCCAGAAGTACCTGAACAGCCGAGCCAGCCGAACACAGGTATGTGACGTGTCAGAGGAGAAACGAGCCGTTAACATTACTCTTTCTGGCAGTAACGGTCCACAAACCTCACCGCACTTTAGGGACTGTTCTTTACTTATGAAGGGACTGTTCTTTACTTGTCAGGGGAGGAGGGTGGCTGGTTGATTCTTATTTTATTTATTTATTTTATTTGGATCCCCCCTATGTTAATCACTCATTGATGCTGTTTTTGAAGTATGAGTAAGTCAATAAGTAATTTATTCCATTGAAATATCATTGATGTATTATAGAAAAGTGATTTATCTTTTTATAAATGACAAAAGGCACTTCTGCCTCATTTTTGCTGTGATATCGTCATACTACTCAGAACCGTAATATTGTCACTGGTATCGTACCATGGGTCCCAATTTTGGTACCGTGACAACACTAATCTGGAGGGGGTTCATCTGCAAAAACTAATGAAAAACTAAACAATGATATTCGGTATTCGGTACTCTGTATTCGGCCAAGCGTTTAATAATATTCGGCTTCGGCTTCGGCCACAAATTTTCATTTCGGTGCATCCCTAATTCTAAGAAAGCTGCTGGTACTGACAACTTAGAACCATTCTTCCTAAAAGCAGGTGCAGAGTTTATTGCACCTCCCCTTACTTACCTTTTTAATCTTACATTAAGCACCAATGTGATTCCCAAAATATGGAAGTCAGCCTATGTCCTCCCTCTACTAAAAGGGGGGGAGGCCACTTTATTAAATGGTGAATGATATGATTGGCATACTGGATAAGAAGCAGAGTTGTGTAGCTCTATTTATTAACCTGTCCAAAGCTTTTGATACTGTTGACCATCTCATCTTGAAACAGAGTTTGACTAAAATTGGTGTGTCTGACCAGGCAGTGGGATGGTTTTTGAACTACCTCTCTGAAAGATCTCAATTTGTCCAGTTTGATGGGCTCTCCTTTGATTGTTAAGTGTTCCACTGTTATTTTCTATCTATATTAATAGTTTAGGTTGTAATGTGGATGGAGCCTATCTTCATTTTTATGCACTGTGATCTATTGTGCTGGTCCCTCCATTGCTGAGGCTCTTGCCAAACTGCAGGATGTTTTTAATATTATTCAGATGTTTTTAATATTATTCAGATTCAGCTTTCGCAACTAAAGCTGGTTTTGAATGTTGATAAAACTAAGGTAATACATTTTTCAAATGCTCATAAAAAGCCTGAGAAGACTGTTGACATTATTTCTGCTCAGGGAAGAAGTTGTCTACAGTTTTAAATATCTCGGTATTTGGCTTGATGACGGTCTTTATTTTAAACCTCATGTTGAAGATCTTCTTAAAAAGCTGAGACTGAAGTTGGGTTCTATTTCAGAGATAAGTCCTGCTTCTCTATGGAGGCCAGAAGGAGACTGATCTCTGTTACCTTCTTACCGGTTCTTGATTATGGTGATCTATTGTACATGAATGCATCCGCACACTGTTTGCACATGTTAGATACTGTATATGACAGTGCCCTGAGGTTTGTTACAAACTGTAAAGCCCTCACTCGTCATTGTACTCTTTACTCCAGGGATGGGTGGCCATCTTTGACAATGCGTAGGCTCAATCACTGTTATTTGTTTATTTATAAAGCCATTTTGGATAAACTACCATCGTACATTTGCACTTTGACCGCTCAGAGATCTGACTGTAGTTGTAGACAAGGACCACACTTAAGTTATTTAGATAATAACCTTTATTTCAGTGATGGCTGCTGCGTTGGTTTGTTTGATGAAGAGAGCTGAGCCTCCGTCTCTCTCCGTCCAGGTGGTGGTATTAAACTCCAGACCAGCGGTGCTGGACGACGCCCCCCACAGGTCGGCCATGGAGCTGTCAATGATCATTGACGAGGCAGACCGGCGCAGAAATGTATCAGGGCGGGACAGGAAGAGCTCGCTGGTTGCCTGGGAGACGACCCTGGAGGACGTGCTGGAGGATGAGGGTGGTGAGGAGCGGGGGGAGGAGGATGAAGATGAGGAGGAGGAGATGGAGGAGAGTGGGATGGAGGGAACAGTGCTGGAGGCAGGAGGTGAGGAAGACGAGGAGGAAGGGGACAGGACCATGGAGGTAGAAGAGAAGGTAACAGGATTATTTTCATTTCTGAAGATGTTTTAGTTTTTTAATGAAGCTGAAGAAATGTTTAGTTAAACTCTGTGTGTGTGTGTGTGTGTGTGTGTGTGTGAGCAGTCAGACAGAGAGGCGGCACTGCGTTTGGTTTTGGAGGCTCAGATCAGAGAAGAAGTCAGCGCTGAGTTCATGGATCTCTTCAACAAGATGGAGAAAGACTACAGGTAACATGATCATGTGACCAAAACACAGTCTGCAGCGAGAAATGACAACAGACTGTACAAAATAACCGATCTGCCAGTGTGAAGTCAGCCATTGCTTTAGACTCCTGTTCTGAAACCTTTGGAGTTTGGCTTTTTGGCTGTCACCATTGTGGATTTTTGGAGCCACATTTGGACTATTAGCAGTAGATAACCCTCACGCTAATGTCAGCTACTAGCTTAGTTGGCACGGTGCATTTACAGCTAACTGCGATAATGCTAATGCTAATTTTTGTGATCAAAAATAGGCTTTAAACCAATAAAAAAAATATTACCAGCAAAACTGAATATCTGACTCCTTAGAAAGTGTTTTAGTACAACCAAAGACTGAGCAAGATTTTTTTAGCTGACAAAGACATTGCAATTAATTTTCATGAGCTGAAAACACACTGAAATAGTGACAGCTACACCTGTACTCTGCATCTGGGGTTACACCAGGGGGAAATAATCGATTCTTAAGTCCAGTTCAGACCAAAGACTGGTTTACGGTGTGAACTGTCGGTCTGACCTCAACTCAAGCCAACTGATGGTGTCACCTGACATTCAGCTGGCCAAATGGCCAGCGGCTGGTTTTAAAGCACGTCACCTGTTTCAACAGCCAATCAGCTTGTAGTGAAGTCAGCTGGTCAAGTCAAAATGACCACAGAAAGCGTGTTGGCTTGCTGCTCCTCACTATGTGCTGGTGTCAGATGGTGGGTCACTGCTGCTGCTGGCTATATTTGCTTATGCCCCGCCCACACACACATTCTCATTGACTGATGAATTGGCGCTGGTTATTTATATCAGTGGTTCCCAACCTTTTTTGTCTTGTGTACCCCTTGAGCCTTTTTGTCATACCATGAGTACCCCCTCACTCATACGTGTTCATGATTCTCCAAAAGTAGAACATAACACAACTGAATATTCAACGCAAGTCATTTTATTTCATCTTCTTAAATTGAATAATTAATATTCAGGCCTTATCTTCTTATTTAACTCAAATTAAACATAAAATTATGTTGCCTTCAAGGCAATAAAAATGATAAATATAAGAAATAATATTATAGTAAACATTTGTATTTTTAATACTGTATTATTAATACTAATATATTATGATTATATTGTTATTAAAGAAAAATAATTAAGTTGAAATTAGAAAAAAACAAGAATAAATAAAAATAATAAGTAATATTAATAAATAAATAAATACAAAGCAAATAATTAACCTGCCTTTGTTATATATAACTTTTATGACATTTACCACAAAAGGAGCTTCTTTGAATATGTCCCCTTTAAACAGGCATTTAAACTTTAAAAATCAGGGACAAAACACTTAACAAGAATACTATTTAAACTCACTGTATCAGTTGTACTTTCTTTTCTTCAGTCATCTGAGATTTAATGAGACACTTGAGCTTGCTTGTCTTTCATAAGCTTTGATAGTTCTGGGGGCAGTGTGGAAACAGCTGTTACCAGGCTGTTCTTCACATCCAGTCTGCTCCTCTGCTTGGTTTTAATGTGTGTCAAAGCTGAGAAGGTCACTTCACACATATAAGTAGAACCAAAAGGCAAAAGCTCAATCAGTGCATGTTTTCCCAGCTCAGGATACTCCTTCTCCACATCACACCAGAACTCAGTCAATGTCTTCTCAGCATATGTCATTTTCAGTCCCTGATCAGATGATAAATCCATCAGATGCTCCTGCAGCCTTGCAGGAAGGTTGTTGCAGCTCTCACTCACAATAAATGGGTTCCTCACCCAATCCAGTCTTTCTGACTTTTCTTCAATGTCCTGAAAATACTGGCTGAAATCCGTGCAGAGTTTGGACAGATGTGCTTGCACCAGTTTGACCACTGGACCCCTGGCAACATCAGTGGTGGCAAGATGGGAATCAAGTAGTGGGAAACAGCTGACATCTCCCTCATCACATTTCTTCTCCCATAGTTTGAGCTTTTTTGTGAATCCTATAACTTTGTCATACATTTTCAGGATGTGTGGCTCCTTTCCCTGAAGCGACAGGTTGAGCTCGTTAAGTTTGGTAAACACATCAGCGAGATACGCCAGGCGCGCCACCCACTCAGCGTCCTCAAACACCACAGCAAGAGGATGCAGATGCTGCGTCAGAAACACCGAAACTTCACTGCGCAGTTCATAAAGTCTGAGTAGTGTTTTCCCACGGGACAGCCAGCGGATGTCCGTGTGAAGCAATAGCTGTTCGTGCTCTGTGCCGCTCTCATGACAAAGAGTTTCAAACAGTCTGTGATTCAGTGGCCGGGATTGGATGAAATTTATCACCTTCACAGCATCATCCATAACAGCACTTAATTCAGGGCTCATTCGCTTACTTGCCAGTGCTTCGCGGTGAATGATACAATGCATCCATTTAATGTCGGGATTTACCTTTTTTACGTGTCCAAAAAGTCCCTTCACACTTCCCGTCATTGCAGCTGCGCCATCAGTACAGATGTGACTGCAGGTTTTCCACTGTAGATCGTGTTCTTTGAAAAAGCTGTCTATAATCTGGAACATTTCTTCCCCGGTTGTCTTTCCTGGCAGCTTTTTGCAAAATAAAATATGCTCGTTTATGTCCGACACATCTTTGTAACGAACGAAGGCCAGGAGCTGAGCATCACCACTCACATCTGTCATTTCATCCAGCTGCAAAGCGAACTGACCGGCTCGTTTCATTTTTTTCACCACTTGTCCAATAATATTAACCGACATATCATCAATCTGACGGGACACGGTGTTGTTCGACAGGGGGACTTTCTTGAGTGTGTCGGCTGCTTTCTTGTCAATCATAATTTCAGCCATAACCGCTGCTGCAGGGAGAATGAGCTCTTCAACAATTGAGTGAGGCTTTTTTGATTTCGCCACGAGCAGAGATACGGCGTAAGATGCCTCCAGTGCTTTGCTTGACACACTCGTGGCTTTCATCATTACAGTCTGTCTTGACTTAAATTCCGACAGCTTACGTTTGTAAAATTCCTTAGTTTTACCGACACTTTCCGAGTGTTTGGTGCTCTGGTGTCGCTGTAAATGGGCTGGCTTCATGGAGTTATTTGCCAGGACTTCACCGCAAAAGAAGCACTGAGGCTGCGGTGGGTCCGCAGACGTAGAAGTGAATCCATATAAAATATAGTTTTCACTATACTGCCTTGGTTTAGGTTTGGCATCTTTCTTGCGTTTGTCGGCGGGCTCCTTTCCCCCTCCTGGATCCACAGCAACTGGACATTTCAGCCATTTATCCATATTTACCTGCAGGTAAACAGGTTCCCGCAGATTTTGGTATGGCTGTGCCACAGGTTATTGTCTCCCCAGGGACACAAGTCATAGCACACACGTACCATTTTATTGACGGACTTATGAAATGACGGAGAATATTTTTTATTATCTTGGAAATAAATTCTTAATTTTTCCACGTATCCCCTGCAATGTGCTCACGTACCCCTAGGGGTACGTGTGCCCCTGGTTGGGAAACACTGATTTATATTATTGTGGCGTATTGATTATGAATACAGACCATCTGATGCTGGTTTTGTTTCATCACTGTAGCCAGTATCTCACTATCACTATCCTCACTCAGATTTTAAGAAGCTACAAATTATATTCAGCCACAAAATAAGTCTGAAAAGCTGCAAATCAGAACGGAAGTACAGAGAGTTGTTGACTAGAGATGATACGCCGTCTCATGGTGGTCACTTCCTGTCAACGTTACAGATCAGAAGCACAGAGAGTTGTTGACTAGAGATGATACGCCGTCTCATGGTGGTCACTTCGCTACGCACCTGTCACTCAAAGCAGACACGCCCTTAATTATGCACTATCCTGGAAGTTGCTGCTTGTTGAACACTGCTGCAGTTGCTGCTTGAATGAACACATCATCCCTGACACACAGTAAGAGTATTTATAGTGACACGGTGATAATGTTTTTCTGTGTGTGTGTGTGTGTGTGTGTGTGTGTGTGTGTGTGTCAGTGACCGCCTGGAGAAGGAGAGGGAGATCCTGGAGGAGCGAGCTGAGAAGAGAGTGGAGATCCTGAAGAACCTCGTCAGTAAGACTGTCGATCTGTCGACCGTTTACACTGACAACAGCAAGGTGATTTAAAAAGAACTCTTCATTAACAGTGTGTCCCATTGCTGGCAGTTATTACTGATTAATAACAGTATTGATTGATTACTGGTGATTGTTTGTCAGGAGGAGCAGTTGGAGGGACTCATCAGCTCAGTGGCTGAAGACCTGGAGAAGATTAAAGAGGATGCCCAGAGTGTTCACCGCTGTCTGACTGAGCAAGCACACACTGCAGGTACACACACACACACACACACACACACTAGCCGCTTTTACACTGCCAGATTTTCGGCGTATGTTGGATCGTTTTGCCGGCCAGCTGTGAGCGTTTAGACACACAGAGCCGGATTGGCGAGTTGATCCGAGGTGCCCAATTTTCCTCCTCGTAGGGTAGACATATTGGTGGAACCCTTTTAGTTTAAACAGACCAAGGCGGCCTTCTGCAACGGGAGGGGCTGTTGATGACGCCGCACGTGCGAGCCACTGGCGGTGGATAAACAGGAAACAGCTGATAGCAGGAATTAGCGAGCAGCTAGTAGCAAGAGGGAAACACAAACCTGACAGACACTGTAAAGATGAGCAACTGGGGAGACAAGGAATTGCGCACCCTCCTTGTCCTCGCAAATGAAGAGGCCATTAACCGTCAGATGACGGGGACGGTGAAG